TGTGCAATTCAGGCCTCCCATTCTACTACCACAAAAGCAGAGTTGCACTATCTAAATTTAACACAAACAAGCCTGAAGTACTAACTTGTAAACTTTTCCAGTGGCTGTGTCTACACACATGCTTAACTATGGAGTAGACTAATTAGCTGCAGAGTAAACCATCAATATCTATACATGCAACACTATTCAGCTGCAGTAAACCAATTAACACAGCCAAGGACAGTACTATCTTTCAGCAGTGTAATTAACTGCAATTAAATGCAGGTGTAGATGCTGACTGTGAATGTAAATTGTGCCCGGTCAAACCCGTTAGCAGGGGGCCAGACTCCTACCTGCTGTCTAGTCATACTGCTCTGCACTTTTAGCAGCCTCATGCCCCAATGCACAAAGAGACCTCCAGCATCATGGAAGTGGGGCAGCCAGGGAAGTCATTGGAAGACTCAGTAGAAACAGGTTCTCTGGAAGGTGGAAGCTGGCAGCTTGTAACTTCTGACAACAGACTCTCCTCTTCTGGACCTCAGCTATGCATCTGGAAAGCAGGTATGAAGCCCTGTCATTGGATGAGAAGAAGACCACCCCAGTGATGGTGGGGGGCACTACTGCACCCCATGAGAGGGTGGATTGAAACCACTGCTACCAAGAGAAAGAAATGGGTGGTGGTAGTTGGTGATTCAGTTCTGTGGGCCACAAAGTCATCTATATGCTGGCCTGATCTGTTGGCTTGGGAGGTCTGCTGTCTGTCAGGAGCCTGTGTCTGTGACATCACAGAAAGGTTGGCCAGACTCTTCTGGCCTTCTAACTACCACCCCATCCATGCGTACCACCAGGGTTGACGCTGAACAGATCAAAATTGACTACATGACTCTGAAAGCAAGGGTGAAGGGGACAGGACACTACGTGGTATTCTCATTGATCCTTGAAATCAAGGGTAAGGGCCAGGTAGGAAGAGATGCATCCTGGAAAACACAATGTAGCTGCATAGATAATGCCATAAGCATGGCTTTGGTATTCTCAACCATGGTTTGGAATTCCAGGAATATAAACTGCTGAGAAGAGATGGGGTCCACCTGACAAAAAAAAAGGGAATTCTCTTTGTGAGTACAGGTTTGCTAATCTAGTGAGGAATGCTTTAAACCAGGTTCACTAAAAGTTGAAGACAAAAGTCCAGAGGAAGACACTGGTATGTTTGCAGGGAGAAGATAGTCAGTTAGATATCTGAAATGTTTATATGCTGATACGAAAAGTATGGGGTACAAACAGGAAAATTTGGAGGTTCTAGTACAAGCACTGAATTGTGATTTAACTAGTATTATAGAGAAGTGCTGGGAAAGTTCACATGATTGCCATACTTCCATGGGTAGATTTAGCTTGTTCAGGAAAGCTAGGTTGGGGGAAGAAGGCAGAGGTGTGGCCATACAGGTTTACTTGTCGAAAGCCTCTGTATAAAGGTCAAAGGGGAGAGCAACAGTAAGGACATGGCAGAATTTTGCTACAGGCCAACAAACGAGGAGGAGCAGGTGAATAAGGCCTTTAAGCAAGAGACAGGCACTTTCAAATCCTATGACTTGGGGTTCTCATAGGGAACATTAATTATTGGGATATCTACTATATTGGGGAATGCAACAATGCACAAACAGTCTGCAAATGCTTGGAATGTATTGGGCATAACTTTTTGATAGAGATGCTAGACAGGCCAATTAGTGGGGAAGCTCTTTTTTACTTTTTGTGCACATACAGGGAGGAATTGGTTGAAAATGTGAAGGTGGAAGGTGACTGGGGTGACAGTGACCATGAGATGATAAAGTTCAAGACTGATTACTTAATAGTGCTGATGCAAGATTGGTTTTATACACTTATACTACCAGTGCATTTTATTTATTGCCACAAATGCAACTGTATGTGACCTTTTTTTAAAAAAAAAAAGGGAAGGAAGAGAGCAGCAGAATAAAAACCTAGGGCAGAAAAGCAGACTTTAACAAACTCAAGGAAATGGTGTGCTGGATCCCCTGGGAGGCAAGTCTGGGAGGAAAAGGAGAGCTGGCAGTACTTTAAGGACACTTTTTAAATGGCACAGGGGCAAGGTATTATTTTGCAATTGAAAGAATGTGAAATGCAACAGAAGACCAACCTGACAAGGGTCTTCAATGAGTTGAAAATTCAAAAAGGAATCCTATAAAAACTGAACACTTGGTCATAGTACTTGGGAAGAACATAAACACAGGCACATAGGAAGAAAATTAGGAAGGCCAAAGAACTCTTGCAGATGCAGCTGGCAAGTTATATCAGAGGTGGTAAAAAAGGATTCTACAAGTAAATTAAAAGCAAAAGAAAGACCAAGGAAACCATAGGTCTTTTACAGAATGTAGAAGGCAATACAGTTATAGACGATGCAGTGAAGGCTGAAGTAATTAATGCCTTTCTACTTCAGTCTTACCAAACAGGGTTGGCTACCAAATGATGAGCTCAGCTGTCAGCAAAGACAGGAAAGGAGACAAATAGTCTAGAATAATGGCAGAACAGGTTAGGGATAATTTACAGAAGCTAAATTCTTTCTCGTCAGCAGGGCTGGACAGGGTGCATCCTAGGGTACTGCAGGAATGGCTGAGGTAATTCCAGAGTTATGGACTATCCTCTTTGAGAACTCAGGGAGGTCAGGTGAGTTGCCAGATGACTGGAAAAAGGCAAAAATAATGCCCATTTTTAAGAAGGAGAAGAGGGATCCAGAGAATTACAGATTGGTCAACCTGACCTCTATCCTTGGAAAGATCACTCAGCAGGTCCACAAGGAATCCACTGTGAAGTATAGAGGATGAGGTGATCAGGAACAGCTAGCATGGATTCATGCCTGGCCAGCTATTCATGAGCAAGTCATGCCTGACCAGACTGATTTCCTTCTATTATAAGATCCATGGGGAAGAGCAGTGGATGTGATATACCTTGACTTTATCAAAGCTTTTGACACTCTCTCACAGCATTCTCATTAATAAGGTAAGGAAATATAGATTAGACAAAAGTACTGTCAGATGGGTGGATAACTGGTGGACAATGGGATTGACACTAAATTACGTGGAGTTGCAGATACTCCAGAGGGTACAGCTAGGATTCTGGAATGACCTGAACAGACTGGAGAAGTGGTCCACAATCAATTGGATGAGGTGAACCTCATCCAAGAATGTGCAAGAACAATGCAAAGTCCTGCACTTGGGATGGAATAACCACATGCAGAAATATAGACTGGGGAATGGTTGGCTTGGTTGCAGTGCTACAGAGAAGGATATGGAGTTACAGTGCACCATAATATGAATATGAGCCAACAGTGTGCTCTTACTGGGGCACAAAAAACAAAAAAAAACAGCAGTGGGTAACAGGAGTGTCACTTGCAAATCAAGGGATGCCTGGTGAGGGCTCACCTAGAGTACTGTTGGTACTGCACAGTAGCATGGGGAAAAAAACCCATGTGGTGTTGGGACTCTGCAGTAAGGCCAGTTACTGCAATCATTTAGTATTCACTTAAGCAATTACTAAATGTCTGTGCAGTAACAACTGCACAGTCTGGCATACATGTAGCACTTAGGTTCCTAGGACATGTCAGTTTCATTTCCCCCTGACCAGTTGCATAACTTGTAGGGCAGCTGCCCCAGGTGCCAACTTCTGGGGGCCCTACGCTCTGCTCCAAACCATGCAGAGCTGCTTCTGAAATAATGTCTGGTCTCTGGTGCACCCATGTGAGTGGAGTTAATTTTGTCAGCAACAGACCTAGTGGCAGGAGGGAATTTGTGGAGACATGGCCGTATTGAAAATATTACTGAATATATTTTGGGACATTAATGTAAAAAAATTACTACATTTCTGTGGAACTCCATGCTGAACCACTTAGAAAAAAATCCACATACTCCAGAAGAATCAGTTCAGCAAATACTGAAAGCTGTTTTACATAGAAGTAGAGCTTTCTGATGTTATTTCTTGAACACTAAGTCTGAATCCAAATTTCCTAAGTTACATTCAGATCATTCTGCTATAATATTCACAGCCTGTTCTGTGCATGGTAAGATAGACAAAGAGAAAAAACATTGATTATCACATAAGGACAGATCCATACCCCTTGATATCAGTAGAAAAAATCCCATTAACTACATTCAACTTTGGATCAGTTTCATTTAGTCTACATGTGGGTTACTACTATTTATATATATCTATACTATAGTATAGTATATAGTGTGTGTGTGTGTATGTATGTGTGTACAGACAGCAATATATATATAACCATTGTTCCAGAATGTTAAGTACATAAAACAGATGCACAAGTTAATTTTTGCATGTTTACAAGAATTCGACAAAAAGAAAATTCTAACATACCAGCAGGAGTTCTTTTAAATACACATTCTGATTGGCATGCATGGTTAATTTTAGTCAGAAACATTAAACCTCCTTATGGAAACAGAATTACTAATTAGTAGGAAATACTAAAGACTGAGATTGTTTGTGTTTTGTCATTCAAAGTCCATTAACAATGTAGCTTAGTTTCAAAATTTAAAGTAATGAAAATATTTTGAATCCTTGAAGTAGAGTCACATCTTATTTTAATCTCATAGTTTTCTATAAGTCTTAATGAATAAACATGATTTCAGAAAACTTTTCTATATTAAGTTATTCCTAATTGACATACAAGCACAGGATAAATTCTTGCCTAAGTTCCAATGCAAATGCACAACAACCCACCTTGAAAGGCCTAGTATTGCTTCCTTATTGACTTCAGTCACTAGTATTAGGCCTTAAGCATGGCAATAAACCACAGATTTTCTCTATATCTGGCATTAAGTAGTTCTTCACTTCCTGTCTCCCAAAAAGTTCTCAATTCACAGATTTTTTTTTTTTACCCCCAGCAAGCTAAGTATGTCACCCTGAAGTTTTTCCTTCTCATGAATCATCACCATTAAAAGTTAGTTCTGCAGGTCAAATTAGGCTCTTGATCACTTGAACAATGTTATTTTCATTTACAGGCCTTCACAGCTATAGCTGATTGAACCTTGGTAAAACAGGTTTGTAGAACATAAAAGGAAAATTACAAAACATCTCATTCCAACTACAGTTATATGGCAGAGTTCATAGGACTAAAGCAGCACTAGAAGTGTATTGTTATTCAGAGATAACTGTGAACATATGGAGGAGCAAGCATTAAGTTTAAAAGGTAATTATCATAACAAAACTATAATTTCAGTTCCATTATAAAATATTCCTGTTTGCATGAATTATGAAGGGAAAAACTAGTCCAGGAAAAATAAAAGCAGCATCGTCACTGTCACCACCACACATTTTGTTCCTGAGCTTCTTGTCTTGCTAGGTTAGGTTAAAAAAAGATGTCTCTCAGCTTATTAGACTGTACTGAATGAACACAAATTGCTATGCTGATTGAAAGAAAATGTGTATATTTTCCTTGATTCCTTTGACAACACGCCAAATTTACTATAAGTATTAAGACTGAAAAAGTTGTAGATCGTGTCTCCACATCCTCTGTAATCCATTTAAAATAAAGATAGCCAAAGTGGACACTTTGAAGAGAAGTTTTTGTATTAAAAAAATTGAAGGTTTCTGTGCTGCAGTGGCAAAAAACCCTACACCAATGGCACAATGGCTGGCACCTTCTTGATCTGCTTGCATCATCCTGGACAAAAGTTACATTTATCCCATGACAGTAGCTGAGAATATGTAGAGTACTTTTCTATGAATACCTTCCTCCTGCCACTCATATTTTCTTAAACCAAGCAAGTAAACTGTTTGAGTGTGACCGTTCTTCTAGGCCTCCCAAATCCCTTCCTAATCCTTGAAAAGCCTACATGAATTACAGATAAATTAATACAGGCATCTGTAGTTATGCATTTGAGCATGCCTATCCTACCTTTACTGGTAGGCACTGAACTGCTTAGTCCTATCTCAAGTCCAAACCTTAGGTATGTCTATGCTGAAGTTCACTTCAGAAGACCTGTTCAGAGTGCGCCTACCACAGGCACTGCTGCCTTCAGCACATTACAGCACAAGCACAGGTAATTTCAGAACGTATCCAAGTGATACAGTAAACTGAAAAACTGGTGCATAATATCATATAAAAGCCTGGTTCTTTGAATAGTCACTCAGGAAGTGGTCAATCTATATTCAATTCCTTCTTTCCGTAAGGGCCAGAAAGAGATAGCATGTGTCTTATGACTCTCTAAGCTTAAAATAAATGTAAAATAAATACACTGTTGTGACTAGGTACTGAAATCCCAGCATTTCTCTCTCCTGTGTTAGTGCTCTAAATCACTGGGTTATGAGTTATGGCCTCATTTTCTGCCTTTCTTTCTATAGAATGGTAGAACTTGAACAGCAGTAACTCAACACGTAGCCTTGTACTTGGCACAAGAGGGAGACAGATAGGAATCCCCAAAGGCAGAGGAGAGCACTAAACCCTGGTATTTCTGATTGACAGGTGAATACTTTAACCACTGGTTCATAATGTAAAATGTGGGTGTGTACTTCTTCCTTCTCCTGCGGTAGCCATGGGAAAGAGAGAAGCAGTCTTTCTCTAAGGCAGTCATTGATTAATTGCATGTATGTTTATCCAAAAATGCATTGGACCTCCAAAATACTTTATGAATTAGCCACTTGCATCTCCACATGTCAGGTTTTGTTAGTTAAGGGTCCAAAGATATCATGTATAAGCAGAAAATCTCAAATGGAAAGGATCTAATATTCTAGTTATAGATGATTTAAGATTCTTTGATTCAGATTCCCATCTAGACTTTATAAGAGAAGCTAAGAGCACCATGGAACTGTAATATTCACTATCTAGAGTTTGTGGCTTGGATAAAAGATTTTTAGTAGTCTAGCTGTCTTGCTTTTAGACATCATAAAACACTATCATAGACCTAAGAAATAAAATGACAAAGTTAAGTGAAGTAAGACATTAAATGATGGAAAAACTGTAGAAGACAAAGGTCAAAGAGGGAAAGCTGACTTAAAGCATTCTGGTAACCATACACTCTTCATTACCATACAATTAATGAAATGTCTATTGATTTCTTTTAGAAATATACTGTAATCAGACATTAGCCATATGACCAGGATGTATGGGGGAAAATTAAATATGGCATTTTGTAACACAATTAAAATAAGTATTACAAAAGAACCCTGCATATAGCAGACAGAGTTCTATACAAATAAGTTAACCCATTATGAAGCTGTTCTAGTATAAATTCATAAAGCATACAAGAGTATTTGAAGCAATAGGGGGAATGGTTTGTCACAATTCCACCACAAAAGTAGAAATGTTTTTGGGATACTTGTGAAATGTGCTGCATATATATTTTCCCAGATTAGATTTACTACCATATTTACTTGAATACAAGATGAGGTTTTCCCCCCAAATCAGCATGGAGGGGAAAGACCCTCAGTTTATCATCACATACAAGGAAATCTCATTAAATACACTATGGACTCATTTACAGGTGGTGCTACATCACCGTATCAACGTGCTATGGTGATGTAGTATCTCTGGGCAACAATCCTGATTCCACAGCTACATCGCCATAGCAATATGCTCCCTTGTTATAGTGCATTGCTATAGCAACTTAGCAGCTAAAAATAACCATGGCCACATGCATGGCGCAGTATGGACTGTTATTGTGCCGTCATTTATTACTTCCAAAGGGAAGTATTAAATGATGGCACAGTAACAAAGGCACTGTAGGGGCATGTGTAGATGCCCCCAGCCTATCATTAAACTGCTCTTTCAATCAGCATGTGTTGAATAATTGAAACCAACTATAAAGTTGATTAAATACAGCCAATACTAAGCATAACTATAAAACACATTTCCCATATTCGGCAAACATACTGATGGTAACTCAGCAAAAGAATAGATTAGTGCAGCCTATCTGAATAAAATATATGGTAGCATCCATTGACTGCAGTTCCTCTCTGTGCTGTCTGTTTTTAAAGTCCTAGTGAGCCACTATATTGCATACATTTTGACTTACTCTTTACTCCTATAGCTGACTCTCAACTTTCTTTTCCAGTTATTCCTGTTTCTTTCCCAGCCTTAAATGCCTGGCAAACATCAAGAAAAAGGGTCCAAAGAGTTCACTCAAAATCTCTCCTACACCTGCTCTCTCCAGCTGTCATATATGATTAGTATGGCCCTGCCTCCCATGAGGTGAAGCCAGAAGAGGTTGCCTTATACCTCATCTGCATATAAATTTAGAGAAGAACCCAGGACTCATGACAAGAACACCTGGTTCCAGTCATGAGGAATGGGGTGCTAATTAGCCCATGGATCTTTGCGTGGGGGAGGGAGGTACCTGGATTATACATTCATATTTAGTAATTCCTCACTGTGGGGGCACCATAGCTTCAAATGCTGTGAACTTTGCTGGGGCCCAGCCCAAAGAACTATATGAGGCTTTTAGCTTTGGATTAATAGTATGCATTGTTTGTACTATATATGAATAGGTATAAAAGAGTTGCTTAAAAGTGTGTTTATGGAGTACTGTGCCAAAACTTGCAGCAGTTTCAAAATAGGTAAAATGCATCAAATTCTCTATAAATTAAGTGTATGGGTACCTGTAGTAATTTGCCTATATGTTTAATTATGTTTATTTCAGTGTATTTACATTTGCCCCTCACTACCATGTGCTTGAGGACAGCATGGTCAGATAGTAAAGAAGTGGAGGAAGAAAGGGGAAGGGAGACACCTGACCCCCAAATTTATTTTCCTTGCTGCAGCAGTGGGAGAGGGACACATTCAAGGAAAACCATTAATAATTAGATTCTATACCTAGGCATTTTTAACAAATTTCTAAATTTTCCATATATAGAATTTAATTATTGAGGGCTTTCCTATATTCAAGGTAGTTTTATATTCAAGTAAATATGGTAATATAGTTTTTCATCTCTAGTTGTACCTAAAGCTGATGTGTGCATCATGACATATGGTGTGAAGGTATGTTTATATTCTATAATGTGAATGACATTATTCAGTAATGTAAGTAGTATAGTGTGTACAGCTTTCATCTAAATTCTTATCATGATTAAAAGTAGGCAGGACTAAAGGAGGGGTTTAAAAGTGGGCTTGGCTAAAGACAGAATGTAACGTAGGTAGCACTAAATCCTAAATGGAATGTACCCTTTTTCTGTTACTATTGCCTGGCCTAGTAAGAGCAGGAAAAGTTTTGTTTTTTTAATTAAAAAGCTGCTGAAAAATGCTAATCATACCCTATCTGTTATGCCCAAGAATAATACATGTCGTTATAGTTCTTGACAACCTTTTGGTAGTGAACTTCCTTGTAAATACCCTTTTACTAAGTCTGTAGAGGGTCTGCCTGAAACCTTTAATGATAAGTTGTTTCCCATTTCCAGTTCATTTCTGGGTCTGCCAAGGAGCATGCAGGGGGGGCCCCCATGCTCCCCTGGCTCGGCAACTGCTTCTTCCTGGGTCGGGGGGGCCACCCGGGGTCCCTCCACACCAGTTGCCAAGCCAGGAGAGTCCGCTGGGAAACACATTTCCCAGCGGACCCAGAAGTGGACCAGAAATGGTATGTAGAACATTTTTTTAAAGCTGTGTCTATTTCCGAATTACTCATTCTCTGAATTAGCATTGAATCTTCAGATTTGGATTCAGCTGAATCGAATTGGGGACAGTGATTTGAATCACTGATTCAAGCCAAATCTGAATTGAATAGGGCCTGCTTTGCACACCCCTAGTACAGAATGTGCTCTGTCAGGGGGGAAAAGAGCCATACAATTAACCCAAATACAAAGTACATAGTTCCTTTTAAGAATTCCCAAGACAAGTTACAAGCACTTATCCTGGCATGAGAAATGTAACCTGGTAAGGTCCCATTTTTTCTAGATGCTTTGAGGATGCTGTAGCAAAACCCCCAGTTTTTCTATCTTTTTTTTTTTTAATTTATTTTAAAATGCATTCCCTCCCCTTCCCCAAACATTTCTGACTGTTTCTCTCCCTCTCTCTTCCCTATAGATAAGTATAAGTGAGCTCAGACTTAGGATAAGCTTTAAACATTTTTATTTTGGTAGCAAGTTTTTCATTTTAGATATCCACTGTTGTATATTGTATAATTATTAGGTTTGTATTGATTTTTACTGTTGTATATTGTATTAATTTTTTTGTATTGATTATTATTGTTTCATACAGATATTGTATGGTTTAGGCATGTTTGTAAGTGAACCAAAGTCATGTCAAGTTTCCATTTTATATGTCAAGCCTCCATCTTGTGTCCTCTACCTGGGCAACCCATGTTGCAACTGTACGAGTCATGTACCCCTCCCATGTAAATTGGTTCCTGGATGAATGAGAGTGATTGGGAATGATTGAAATAAAATGGTAACAGGCCTCTACTGAATGGCGTGTAATGACTGGGCCATCACCTCTCATTGATTCATCCAGGAACCACAGACCTCACCCAGGAACAGAGTCAAGAACCCAGCATTTGAAAGACAAAAGACCCTGCAGAACCAGCAACTTTCACCATTACAGACACCCGAAACTGCACATCCCTGCATGGAGTGTGCATGCTCAGTACACCAGGGCCTGACCCTTGCCTGGGCATGCCTCCTGTCACTAGGGTCACACAAGGTCTGCCCCTATAAAAAAGGGGCAGTGAAGACAGACCCAGTGGGACGCCCTCTCCATCTGGAACAGCACCATGCCACACTACCTATCCACCCCGAGGCTCTGCTGGTGACCCACCTTTGCACAACACCTACTGTGCATGCTCAGTACACCAGGGCCTGACCCTTGCCTGGGCATGCCTCCTGTCACTAGGGTCACACAAGGTCTGCCCCTATAAAAAAGGGGCAGTGAAGACAGACCCAGTGGGACGCCCTCTCCATCTGGAACAGCACCATGCCACACTACCTATCCACCCCGAGGCTCTGCTGGTGACCCACCTTTGCACAACACCTACTGGACAAGGACCACTTTCCAGCCTGGATAGGTAGATATTACCTATACACTGCCTCCTACCATTTGGACTCTGTCTCTCTCTCTCTCTCCTCCTGGACTTCAGTGGACTTTAGTCCCTGCACCAAGCCTCTCTACCCCTGCTGCCACTGTGC